CAATTTGGTTCGAGTGGGCTCATGTTAATCTCATTAAAAACAGAAGTTTCTGGATCTTGAAGGCTCCTTAGGTGTGCTCTTGGAATTGGAAAATGCTTCTCCACCTTAGAGGTTTGGCTAGACCTTTTTATCAAACATGTGGTTGGGGATGGGAAGGATGTTTCAATCTGGTATGATTACTGGTTTCCATTAGGTCCCCTTGACACTAGAGTTGATCATAATCTCATCGCTTGTTTACAGTGGGAAGATTGGGCAAAGGTTCAATGTTTCATTAGGCATAAGCAGTGGAGAATTCTTACTTTGTTTAAAGAAATCATCCCTTCCATAGGTACCACAGAGCAGCTTCCTATCTTGAATGTAGGATCACATGACTCTGTCACTTGGACCCTTTCCCCTACTGGCAGCTTCCATCTAGCTACCACTTACAGAGCTCTTATCTCTCCATCACCGACCATATTATGGCACTTTGCTATTTGGTTTTCAAATCATATCCTAAGGTATTCGTTCATTACTTGGGTTGCTCGCACTCACAAACTCAAGACTAGAGACAGCCTAGTCCTGGCAAAGAAAATTGTTCTAAATTACTGATCTCTGTGCCTTGCTGATACTGAGAGTCATCAACACCTTTTCTTCAAATATAGTTTTGCTTCGGAGGTGTGGATGTTTTTCCAACACCTTTGTGGAATTTATGTTGGGGATTCTAACTTATATGACATTACCAACTGGATCGTGTCTAGGTGGAGGGATGGAACTAAAGTTCCGAATGCTTATGTATACAAGCTCTGCCTTACTATAACTGTCTACTTCATATGGAAAGAGAGAAATAGGCGACATGCCATGAATCAAGTTGCCTCTGCTGCTTCAGTTACTAAATTGATCTACAATGATGTTAGGAACCGTCTCTTGTCCTGCAAGCTGCGTGATTCGAAGGCTGCGAGATCTATTGCAGCTGCTTGGAGTTTACATAGTTCTGTTTTTGGTAAGGGGCATTAGTGTGTCGTGTTGGTTCTCGTTGCTACTGCAACTGTGTTCTCTAGTTGCAGTAGCAACGGGTTTTTGTGGTGTTGGTTTTTGTTTATGTTGCTTGGTTGGGCCTTTTTATGGCCTCCTGGGCTTGTTGCCTTCGGGCCTTGGGCTTTAGCCCCTCCCCTCTTATACGGTTTTTTTTTTCCTTTTAATGAATTTGATTTACCAAAAAAAAAAAAAAAAAATCATCATTCAACATCCATGTAACTTACTTGTGAGGAGTTAAATCTATTTCTAACTTGTTGGAAATTCTCATTTTATTACCTATTTACAATCATTTTCTATTGAACGTACATCTACATATATTTTATTGGAATTTTATCACTACCAATTGTTAGTGAGTAAATTATGTAAATAATAGCAAAATTCATAAAGATGTTAAAGCTTCCTTGTAGCTTGTGCTTAATTGCCAAATTAATTTTATCATGCTGATTGAACACATCCCTTAATTTGCAGCTGAACTTCTAGGGTTTAACGATGGATCACATTCTATCCTTCACAACTACAAGAGGCTTGGATTACCTCAGAAGCGTGAATTGCATTTGGTGGAGGTGGAATTCATGATGAAACTGAAAAAAACACGTGGTATTGAGCGAGCTGTGTGTGCATGCACTTGTATAGCTTACTCTATAGATATTATCTTATTTATAATCAATATTGTCTTATTTATGATAGCTGAAAGCTAACACAAACTCTTTAGCTAGCCAAATCTTATAAAAAAAGAAGCATGAAATAATAGTTGCGGCTTGGACCACCCTGTCTATGCTGCAAATCCAGACGTTTTTTGGCCTGACGTTTGGCATGACACCAGATTAAGGACTGGATCTTACTTTGATACCAACTGTAATGGGTGGATGCTTGTGTTAAAAATTGTGAATGAAAATTGTTTAATTTGTTATCAACAGATGTGTTGGACTGAATAGGTGTGATCATTGGTTGGTTGTGAGATGAAAAAATGTAACTAAAAACCAACAGACATAACTTATTGGTATAGATGTGTCTAGTGGTGAACAGACACCATGTGAACCATTGTAACCTATTGGTGAAAAGAGACATATAAATAGTTGTGTCCAGTGATGAATAGACACATATAAATGGCTATGTTCAGTGATGAAGAGACACACGCAATCCGAAAATGCACTTCTATTTCTATAAATACTCCCTTGGGCTACCATTTGCAATTGGTTCAATTCATTTTCTCCTCTCTGCCTCTCTAAACTTAAACTCAACCCAAGTGGGTTCAAACTATAAGTCAAGTGGTCTGAGCCACTTAGACTCTAATCCAATTTCATCGAGCTATATTAAGATTGGTCTGAACCATTTAGTTCGGCTTGCACCCAATTCAACATTTATATATTATAGATGCATTTTTAAGTCAGAGAGAATATTACACGAAGGAGGTTCGCCGTATCCATGAGTTTATAGTGCTGCTACTGGTCGGTGTAAACCGTTGTATTCTGGGAGACAAGTGCCACAGAGTCCGTTAACACCATGTGGGACGTAAATTGTCTTAAGGACATAGTATCCAATACTAGTATCGAATCAGGTTATTTATTTATTTATTATTATTTTATTATTTTAATTTGCATGTTTAATTAAATATTGAGTAGAATATTTATTTAATTATTTTTAGCATTTTATTAAATATCTCATTACATATTAGTATAAGGTTGCTTATATCTTAAATATCATTTGAATTATATATATTTTTTAATAGCTTGTCTTTTTATTTAAAAGTTTAAATTATTTGATAATATTATATACCTACTTATTTATATCCAATCACTTTTTCATTCGAATTCATACCAAATAAATAACTCTAATTACACACACGACAGTAACACTAACAAAAAAGGACATTGGCTTAACAGCCTCAAAAGGCCCTAACAAACGTAGCTATTAAAAATCAGCCAGAAGGCTAAATTCAACGAGGAGTTAAAAAGAGGACCACAAAACATCAAACATAGAATATCTAACAATAATAAATATTTGGATAACTATCCAAACATTTATTACTCCAACTGCAATCATAAATATATCTGATAGATACATATGATAGACGTATAGAAAAAAAGAGACACGTGTACTTGTGTGGTTTGTGTGTTCGCTAGACGTTAATGGGTATGTGTGTGTGCTAGGTTTCTGCTGATATTTTAATACGTCTACTACTATAATAGTTGAATTGAAAGACCCCTCTTGAAGAATTTGAAAACCAACTAGCATATTTATCATATATGTTGCTGGATTGTATTAAAGTTTTCAAATATATTATTTTATTATTTTACTTGAGAAAAGCTTGGTAACCACTAACTATATATGTACATGTGAAGTACAAAAAAAAAATCTTATTAGATGGTGGTGTGACTGGTGAGTGTATATACCACATATTTATCTATTAAGAGAAAAGAACTAAAAAAAGAAGTTATTACGTTTACACGGAAAAATCATAGTGTTTCGAAAAAATGCTGACTTAGAAATAAAAATATATTGTTCATTAGTTCAAATTACTATTTTGAGGTATAACTATTATGTAAATATTATTTTTGTATACATAAGTACTATTTTTGTGTATAGAAGTATTACTTTTTGTGTACAAAATAATAGTATTGTGAACAAAATGACCTTTTTGTGTAGGCCATTTTTGATGACATGGCCTCCACAAAAAAAATGGTACCTACATTACAAGAGTGGTATTTTCTTATAAAAATTTAGTACCTACATTGCAAGAGTGGCATTTATATACAAAAAAAATGATATTGTACCTCTTTATATAAGAGTGGTAGCTGAAAATAGTAAGGATAGTTTCCGCATATGAAATTTTTTTTTTTTTTTTTTCCTGTTCACTTCAGTATTTTGTGCAACTTCATTGCTTCAAAATATTATGATTTTAACTCCAAAAGACGTAAATAAAGTTCCAAAACTCTATATTCCCAAATGACATGTGCCTTGTGTATATGTGACACGTGTGTGTGTGTATATATATATATATATATATATATATATGTGCATAATATATAAATATGATAACATAAGCACAAAAGCTTCTCATAGAAGCTTATAAACCGCCATGTTAATTATCTAAATAGACAAAGCTTCGTTTAGAAGCTTGTGGTATCCGCCTTAGGCCTATTTCGTATTCACGCAGGGAAGTTAACATTTTAAATTATATATATTATTTCAACGTTACAGATAATCCTTATATACGTATTAGATAACGTGACTAACTGGCCGGATATATATAAATTATATCTATTCTATTCTATTTTATTTAATTCAACTGTTAAGTTACCTCAGTGGATATAGTTGTCTGTGAGTTGGAATTATAAAGTTGAATGTGATACACATGTTAGTGCTTAGAAAATTAATTATTGAAATTTAGACATATGATTTGAGAATTATTGTTTTAGTAAAAGTATGATTATTTATATTCTGTGATTAACAGGAAATGGTAATTTTGTTTTGATTACTTGCCTTAAAGACAGGTTTGATTTATTTTTACTTTTTTCCCTGTACACGTTTTTATTGTTCCGGAAGTTAAAAATTTTGTAGGTATGTTGCTGAAATTTACCTCTAATGTTCAAGGAAAAATATATTATTAGAAATTTTAAATATAAATCCATTGAAGCTATGTAATTATCTTAGCAAGTGAAATAACCTTAGTTTTCTTAAATATCTAATTCCTTTAATCACACGAAATACGGGTGTTACATATTGGCCATGGAATACATTATTTTATTTTGTTGCCAAGAGAAAGAAGTGGTCAGTACGTCTTTCATTCTAGGACGCTAACATTTATTCCTATTATTAGACTTTATACTCATTTCCTTTTACGCCTTACAACTTCATCCGTTCATGTATATGTATCTATATATAGATATACTTCTCTCTTCTTAATTTCACTTCCCTTCAAACCACACACCTCTTTTGCCATACCAATCTCTTCTTCTACATCATTTTTCTGTAATTGCTTTCTCCATTAATGGCTTGTAAGCTAAAGATATGGTTTATGGTGTTATGTATAGCGTTAATGGTGGCCAATTTGGGACCATTGGTTCGCGCTGAACCACAAGTCCCATGTTACTTCGTTTTCGGAGACTCATTATTCGACAATGGCAACAACAATGACATTGAAGTTGATGCCAAAGTCAATTACTATCCATATGGGATGGATTTTTCTGATGGTCCTACTGGTAGATTCTCCAATGGTCGAAATATGCCAGACGTTGTTGGTCTGTTTTTCCTTCCTACTTACTCCACCTTATTTTACCATCATGTCTACGATATAAATTCAATTATTTTGATCGATTTTTTCGATTTAGTTTATTTGATTCTTGTTAGCAAATGCCCATTTCCATCAAATTTTTTTTTTTCTGCATTCACTTTCTAAAGCGTTATCCATTTTCGTTGTATCAAGAAGAACAACTATGGAGATCTTTATCAGAAATCAACAGTTAAAAGATTTTAAGCTTGATCATCGTAACAATATCTTGATATGACATCCTACGATGTCAGAATTAAAGTCTTTTAATAGTTGATCTCCAATAATCTTTTTACAAATAATAAGTTTAATAAATACAAAAAGGGGAGAATAATATATTTTAAAATTTTAAAATAGAAGGTTGAGGGTTAAAATTCTGTATACGTGAAATAAAAAATTATGTTGTTTTTATGGAAAACAATATCATCTCTTTACGGACTCCTAACTCTCATTATCAACTCAGTTCATGTAAAGCCAAATCCTTTGACAAGAAATGAGTTTTTGCTTTTCCACAAGAGAACTCCAATAATGAACTCTTTTATAGTAAAAAGCCAAATTAATTAAATAAAAAAATTCACACAGAATTCCAGCAATTTTGTTCAACTACTAAAATTTTACCAGATTTCCCTGTAATGCCTCGCCCACAATTTCTAATTTTAAGCATTTTCCCAATTTTTTTCTATTGATTAAACTGCCTGTATAACATTTTTTATCCTTCTTCATACTCTTTTCTTTAAAAAAAAAAAGAAAAAAGAAAAAGAAAAAAACCTTAAGTAAACAACAAATTCCACTAAGATTATGTTATAGCTTCGTTGTTGCTGTTACTTGCCATAGTCATCATGGATGCATGCTGATCGAATGTAACATCCGTTGCAGCTGAACGTCTAGGGTTTGACATCCATGACATTCCGCCTTTCGCAAAAACAAAAGACAGAGATGTACTCAAAGGTGTAAATTATGCGTCCGGCGGAGCTGGAATTCGTAATGAGACTGGACAACACCAGGTATGTCTAGCTGCCCGTGCATGCATGCTCTCGTATGTTAATTTTTGTACGTCGGTTTCATTTACATAAAATTGCACTTCATTTTTTTTTAAAATAAAAAATTTCTCATCTTACAGGGCCATTCGATTTGCTTGAGTAAGCAACTACAAAATCACCAAGTGACAATGGAAAAGATCGCCACTTCGTTAGGAAGTAAAGAAAAGGCTGCTCAGCATCTAATGAAGTGCATGTATAGTGTTGGAATTGGTAGTAACGATTACATTAACAATTACTTATTGCCAAAGTTCTACTCAACTAACCGAGAATATACTCCGGAGCAATATGCAACAATCCTTATGAAACAATACGACCAGCACCTTAGGGTCAGTATTAAGCGTCCGAATCCTCTGTTGTAGTGCCTTGGTGCTGCAGCGTTTTTCAACGCACTTACATCTGTTTTTGTGTTGAAATGTTGATGAAATGTGTTGAAAACATATATAAGTGCGTTGAAAATCATTGAAAATAAAAAAGGATATGGACTCCAGTATTACAGTTTCTATCTTCTTAGCAAAGGGGGGAACTATTACTAATTTTTTCTTCTTTATTTGTATTTTTTTGGATATATTACAGACTCTGCACAACTATGGAGCTAGAAAGATAGCACTGTTCGGAGTTGCTCTCGTAGGTTGCATCCCACAAATGAAAGCTCTGAATCCCAATGTTAGAACTCCATGCGTTGATTCAATCAATCATTACGTCAAACTTTTCAACGAAGGGCTTAAATCGCTTGTTGATCAACTCAATCAAAACCTAACTGATGCAAAATTTATCTACGTAAACACGGTTGGAATTTCCTCAATTGAATTTCCAATTATTGGTGGTGGTGAGTAACTACAAATTCTCCTATAAACTGTCCTTCTAACTTCTTTTGCATCTATACACACACACACACACACTGAAGGAAAATGATATATAAGCATAAAGTGGAATCTAAAGCGGGTTGGGTAAGGTATTTCTTTAAAAGGGACAAAAAATAAAAAGGTGTGTTGGTTAATATTAATGTTTCTGCTTTCTTGAGACTGCCAAAACAAAAACCCAAAAAGTTACTAAACACCCCTTATTTGTCCATTTGCAGGTATTACACTTACGAGCAATCCTTGCTGCAAAATAAAAAGTTCTAATGGACTATGTGACCCTAAAAGTCCTCCATGCCTCAGCAGGCTCTTGCATATATTCTTTGACGGATTCCATCCTACCGAGCTTGCAAATAGGGTTGTCGCTGGAAGAGCATACCGCTCTCTGCTTCCGGCTGACACACATCCGATGGACATACGAAGCCTGGCTCAACTCCAGCTCTAATGAACAAAGTTTACATATGATATATAATATATGTAATTAGGTTTGCTGTATAATAAGCAATTTTCTAGGGTTTTCTGCATATAAATGTTCTTGGGTTTTTTATAAAAATAATAAATATTCTTAGGTTTTCTCTCAAGTTTAATTGGGTGGGCCTTGGCTAATGGTAAGGTTGCTGACTTAGAAGTCATGGAAGGTAAAACTGTTTACATTTGATCCTTCCTCGAACACGCAATAGCATTAGTCTTGTGTATTATGCTATTTTTTTTTTTTCTAGGTTTTCTTAAGTTTGTCGCAATTTGATTTGCCATGTAATAATTATTTATTGTAGAAAAGAGTAGTGATTTGCATACAAGTTAATAACATCAATTCCAATTCTTCCCCTGCATATATATATTAACATGATATTGAGAATATATATAGCTGCCCTTCTATCTCTCCTTTGTATGGATTTTCTTTGGTTTTGTAATTTATTGATGCCGCAGGGGAAAAAAAAATGTATATTTATGCATAATTAATATATAATAATTTCTTGTATCATGATAAAAAGTAATCTAATAAACATCAAAACAGTAGGAAAAAAAAATTTAAAATCATATCTGAATTGAATATAGACATATTTGAATTTAAGCAAACAAAAAAATTGATTAAACTTCTTATTGAGTACTAGATGGAGTTATGAATAAAATATCCAAATATATTCATTCAATAAAACACATAATACTCAACAATTCATTCATGAGGGTTTTATATTTACAAGGAACAAAGCATACTATATAATCTGCAAAGATAGAAAGTAATACCTATATATAAGAGAGATATTTTTGAATTTATAGCCAAAGTAAAAGGTGAGAGCATTTAACCCCAAAGAGTTGATCTAGTTGAAAAAGATTTGGATGAACACTGGTGTTTCATGAAATATCAAGTCTCAGTATCAATGCCAGCTACATGCAAACAATGAGGGGAATATGCATTGGCTACGTCTCTGCATGCAACAACAATATATGCTAGGATGCATTCCATCCTATATAATTAATGCATACATATTATATATATAACTTATAATAAATAAATAAAAATACTTGTTTGAGCAGTCATTTTTTTTTGGGAATGTTTGAGCAGTCACTTCATAAAATTATATATATATATATTATGGATCAATTGGAAGTTATGCTATGGTTTTATTTCTGTGAAATATGGAATATGGCATATAGTGCCTGTTTTTATGTTAGTGTTATTTATTTTTTTATTTTTTCAATATTTTTTTCGTGACCGTAAAAAAAGGGGGAATATAGCCCCACAGCAAAGGCCCCAACATACCTACCGAAAATTATGCAGGAGGCCCAATTCAACAAGGACTAAAAGAGGACCACAAAATAACAAATATCATAAATCCACAACCCCAAACATAGGTACCCAAGCCCCTGAAACAGGCCCAACAAAAAAGTTTGCAACTGGAGCGAGAGCCCAATGGACTACAGGTCCAACTACTTGAAGATATCTACAATAAGCAATTGAAGTTCTTAGATTTACTGATATGCAATGTTCTTAGGTTTTCTGTAAATGTTAGGATTTTTTTTATTTTATAAAAAGTTTAATTTTCAATATAAATATGGACAAAACTACAGAGGCCCAAGAGCCGATGTTAGCAAAGGCTAAGCAATACAAGAAACATTGTTAATAACAAGTTGACTTCAAGAAATGTCATGATTGCCTCTCAAAAAATTTAAAAAAATAAAAATAAATAAAAAAAAAAGAGAAAAAGAAAATGAAAATGATATGTAGTTAGAGTGTCTGACTAATTAGACTTTTATTTTTTTTCAAAATAGTCAACTCTTACAAACATTTTGGACTATGGTTGCAAAATAAACCAATCCCACATGCCTCTTAATACGTGCAAAATTAAATAACGAATTTGTGTAGTGGTGGGTTCGAACCTTTACCTAGACATTGAATATAGCTTGTCAAAGCTTGAAAGTCCGTCCTTTCAACCAACTATGATATGCTAAGGGGTAATCAATACAATAACGTTATCTTCCACTCACGTGAATGTAGTCAGATTCACAACTAAAAAATAATAATAATAAAATAAAATAAAATAAAATAAAATACTCAATAGCTTAATGTCCATAGAATGCGATTCTTTATTGTGTTGTCAAGAGAAAGAAGTGCTGAGTCTTCCATTCTATGATGCTAGCATTTCTTCCTGTTACTAAACTTGGCACCCGCTTGTTCTTAGGCCTTACAATTTCATCCATCTATGTGTATACATAAATATATATATATTTCTTCTCTCTTTCTCAACATTCCTCAAACCATACCCCTTTTTGCTCCCACCAATCTCTTCTTCCACAACATTCATCTTTAATTGCTTTCTTCAACAATGGCTTGTAAGCTAAAGATATGGTTTATGGTATTATTATGTATAACGTTAATGGCGGCCAATTTGGGACCACTGGCTAGTGCCGAACCACAAGTCCCTTGTTATTTCGTATTTGGTGACTCACTATGTGATAATGGCAACAACAATGGCCTTAAAACTATTGCCAAAGCCAATTACCCTCCTTATGGGATTGATTTTCATGATGGCGTTACCGGCAGATTCAGCAATGGTCGAAATTTGCCGGACATCATTGGTCTCTTTCTCCCTCCTACCTATTCCACGTATTTATATAACATGTCTAAGCTTTAAATTTCATGTTTTTTATTTATTAATTTGCCTATGATATCAATATATATATATATATATATATAGATATATATATATATATATATATATATATATATATATGTGCTCACTTGCCATAGGCATTATGCATGCATGCTGATTTAACGTATCTTACATTGCAGCTGAACGTCTAGGGTTTGACCATCACATTCCACCCTTTGCAACTGCGAAAGGCCGGGATATACTCACCGGCGTGAATTATGCATCGGGAGGAGCTGGAATTCGTGATGAGACCGGACAAGCACTGGTAAGTTATTAATTGCATATGCTTGTGTGCTGTGTATGCTCTTAATTGTATGTTAATTTTTATATATATTGATCCCATTTGGGATTAAACAAAACAAAAAACAAAAACGAAAACAAAACAAACTAATGTAAAACCTTTAACCATATGTTATAAACATGAAATTTTTAATCAATGAAGAGCCTCTGATCTACTGTTCTTTTCAATTAATTATGCTGAAAAGTTGTTCTTTCTTGTAATAGCTTTGTTTTCCTCAGCCCATTGTCCAATTAATTGAACCACTGCTTGTACATATTACCAATTTATATATAAAAAAAAAAATTTGTAGGGCGAATTTATATAATTTCAAGAATAATGATTTAAAGTTTGATTGATTTATGTGAGTGAAGTTAATATCATCGTGATGTCATGATGACATTAACCTTTATTCACATAAAAATTCTAAAATTAATAACACAGCACTGGCTCAGATAGTTATGGGTGATCCCATAATTGCTGACCCACAACTTTGGAGACGTGGATTGATTAATAGAATGTTGTCAAATATAATTAGTCAAATGTTGACAAAAGTAGCATTTACTCATTTTCTAATTAGCGCGTGTAATTGATAAAAGTAAATTACATAAAATTGCACTTTTTCATTTTTTATTTTATTATTATTTGTTTCTCATGTTACAGGGACAAGTGATCAGCTTGGGTAGGCAATTACAAAATCACCAAGTGACAATTTCGCGGTTTGCTACTTTACTAGGAAATAAAGAATCAGCTAATGAGTTGGTGAAGAAGTGCATGTACAGTGTTGGAATTGGTAGTAACGATTACATTAACAACTACTTACAGCCACAGAACTACCCAACTAGCAAAACATACACTCCAGACCAGTATGCACTAACCCTTGTTCAACAATATCGTCAACACATAACGGTCAGTACTTGCAGATCTATCTTCTCCTTTTTGTTTTTCAACATTCATATTTTTTAGAAGAGGGTTGCTTCATAATAATGTGATTTTCTCTCCCTCCCACTCCCTTACCGAGGTTTGTTGGCCACTTTATCAGCCACAACTAGCCGACGTGAAAAAATAACCTGAAATGATTAAGTAGGGGTTTGTGAATCTCATAAGATTATGTTCTTCGCTTCAAACCTAGAAAGGACAAATATGTTATCATACCAAAAATTTCCAATACATAATCGAGCAATTTGGATTTGGAAATGAAGGAAATTTAGTTCAACGCAAATTCAAGACGCGTATTTGGTGATCCCAAACACAACGTAACGGTTCTAATAGGAAGAATGATGTAATTAACCCCGATCTTGACTTCCGTCTGTAATGACGGCAAATCACATTAAGTGTTAACCTAATTTATTATTTATTTATTTATTTTTGGATATACACAGACTTTGTACAACAATGGAGCTAGAAAGGTAGCACTGTTTGGACTTGGTGCAATAGGTTGCAGCCCAGCGGAGATAGCTCTGCATCAACCAAGTAAATCTCCATGCTACGATAAGATCAACAATGACGTCCAACTTTTCAACAAAAGGCTTACAATTCTAGTTGATGAACTCAATAAACAACACTCTGATGCAAAATTTATCTACATAAACTCCACCGGAATTTCCATAGTTCAGCCTTCATCTCGTTCTAATTGTGAGTAACAACAACTTCTTATCTAAACTGCACCTCTTAATTTGCTTCTTTTGCATATATATATATATATATATATATATATATATATATATATGATGTCATTCATTTGTCCATTTTCAGATGCACCACTTAAAAGCACTCCTTGCTGCAAAGTATCAAGTAATGGACAATGTGTCCCGAATAGTGTTCCATGCAATGACAGGACCAAGCAGGCATTCTTTGATGCATTCCATCCTACTGAGATTGGATATGTTACGGTTGGTGAAAGAGCATACAAGGCTCTGCTTCCAACTGACACATATCCGATGGACATAAGCCACCTGGCTCAGTTCAAATGAGCGCGACATGTACATATGATAATCTATATACTTAGTTTGCTGTATAAATGGGCAATGTTCTTAGGTTTTCTGCATATAAATGTTGTTAGGTTTTTTAATGTTGTGTTCATAGACACAATCTAATCCTTCTGCTAGCAATTCAGTATAGGCCATATATCTGCTACAACAACAACCAAGCCTAGTTTCTAACCACTTGGGGTCGGCTACATGAATCCTATGTTTTCACATGCTGTCATATCCTTCCTATGGATATACTAGACTAAGCCATATATCTACCAGAGTCAGATAATTTCTTAGTTTCCTCAGTTATAGGAGGATTTGGAGCTCTGGTTTATGTTCTGCATTTGCTGTCTTTTGGTTTGCTTTTGCTGTCTACATAGATACTGCTTAGATAGAAAACCTAAGAGGTTTTACTCATGTAATTTTGCAGATTCTGCAACAATACAATGAGAAAAGAAAATAAGTTTACATCAGTAAGATTTTTTTAATTATTTTATTTTATGGGAACATTTAGAGTTTGTGTCCCTGTTGTATATTTATTCTAGCTTACAACAAATTATGGATTTTGTCACGAACTTTTTTAGCATGAATCCAGGTACGTGACGATTTGATAGGTACAATTTAGCCATGTAACAATTCTTATTGAAGAAAGTCATTTGACGAATTCGTATTATTATTCCATTTACCGAAGGAAAGAGTAGGGGTTTGCATATGAGTAAATTATTACAATTCATTCAGGAAAAAAAAAGATTAATTACCACAATTCCAATTCTCCCCCTGCATGTTTAGTAGTAGTCATGCTAGCAAATGGATCAAAAGAGGGAAAAAGAAATCACACAAATTAAAGATATTAAATAAGTTCATATGTAAACATTACAGTGCATATATGAAACATAAAATAAAGTACTTTGAAAATGCACTTATGAGTCTAGTGAACTTAAGTGAAGCTATGACATCATGAGAGAATATCAAGACCATACTTGAGGAAGTCTGATTGCCGCTTCTTGGTACTCCCAAAGATAGCTGTAGCTTTTTTCTTGTACAATACTGGATCCCCTCCACAGAAAGTAGAAACTAGAGAGATAACCGGCCCTTTAAGCATATCAACTGTGGCAGAAAATGGAAACAAAGTATTAGTCCCTGTGCATAGTTAGTCCATAATGCATAGTTAGTCCATAATGGTTTATTTGTTTTATGGTGGTCTAGCTAGGCTACTTTGTTGAGCTTGTGTTCTTTTTTGAGGCCTGTCCTCTGTTTTCGTACAGTTCCATACATCAATATAATTCTTCCATGCCGATATAAAAGAGTGGCTTGGACCTCTTGGTTCATCATCAGGATGAGGAAATAGAAGGCAGGTGGTTAATTGAAGCCATAAACAAAGGTGTTTGGACGGAAAAATCACAAAGCAAACATTATCAATTCAGATTTTACTATGGCTTTCATTCCTAGAGGTTCAAATTATCGATTTCAAGCATGTTCTGAAAATGAAAACAGAGCTCTTGTGCAGCCAAAAGCTCATGTATGTGCTAAGTATACTATATTTGTACAGGATTATTTGGATAATTGTCACCTTGTACAAAATTTGATGCATATGTGGGAAACTAAGTACTGCACATAGTTCAATTGGTTGAAGCTAGGCGTATGTGAGAATATGTTAAATCCATATATATGATGAATGATTGAATGTGATATGAATGGAAATGGATGCATATGTTTCTTGGTGATGGTGCAAATGTTGATGCCAACAATTCTTACACTAATTGAAGGGGCATTTGGTCTTGACGGGAGTAATGATGATCGGCTTGCAGCCCATTTACTTGAAGGTAGTTTCGAGCATCCAATGTCTGGTTTGGCATGACCTCATAATCAGAACCTCCTGGCATTAAGCTCATTTGCTGCTGGGATCTCTCATTCTGAGCTATCTGCATAACGAAAAAAACCCAAAAAAACTATAATTAGATAAATCTGTAGATAGATAGGCAGATATATTTATATAATATATACATATATAGAGAGAGAGAGAGACCTTTGTTCTGAGGTACTGGTTATTGTTATGCAAATCGACTTCCTGCATGCAGTGTAAAAGCAGAGAGCAAACAATTCTAAATTAGGAGAAACTCTTGAGTTTTGTCAGAGGATAGAATATAACTAACATCAGGTTTTCAATTACATAAGATAAGAGAAAACTTTTGGAACAAAGGGAAGTTTCTAAAATGAAATCTTAGGATATATTAGGGCTTCTGTATGCAACTGCAGGGCTTATCAAAAAAGTACATTTCATCAATGTACGTACATAAAACTTTTAGAACTCTTCTGGTTGTTTAAGGGCTTATAAAATATAAGATAAATCCATATTTCATCATATTTTTCAATGTACTACTTTCATTAATAAAGGAAGAAAAAACGTCGTATATTTTGTATTTGAATAAAACTTAAAATTGTTGATGAGGGCAAGGTTTATGGACATTGATATATAGGATTGATTTTCAATTATGAGAGAGCAAAGAAAATTGTCCCATATATCTACCAATAGTAGAAAGTTGTACACTAGATCATGCCTTTCAGCAAACACCATTGGGTCATTATACAAACTCAGATTTTAAAAACTAGTAAAGAAAATAAATCATAAATTAAAACACACATGAGGTGAAATTGGGACAGGAAAGAAATGTACATCTTTATAGCATCAAAGCAAAAGGGCTAGGGTCCGTTGGTTGAAAGAAGGCGATCAACCATAATTCAACCTATTTTTTCCTACTATTTCAACCATAATTCAACCTATTTTTTCCTACGATTTCAGTATCCGGAGCAACAGGAAAAAGCTTGTTAGTGTATCTGATTAGAGTGGAGCTAGGCTGGAGAGTATGAACTTGAGAACTGAAAGCAACCACTTCCAATGTCTCCTGCATAATTTGGATACGTCCGGGTAAACCATTCCTTGGTCAATTAATTTCTAAGTTTGTTCCATATCATCTCTTTCAATCTTTGGTTCAAAAACTGTAATTGCTCATTTGACAACTTCAAAAGCCCTTGTCAAAATTGATATGGAGATTATTTCTTTACAGAAACCTGGCCTATTATTGGGATGGACATTATTATTGCTATTAGGGATTTTAAAGCAGAAGAAGAAGAATTTTAAGGTCTTGATCTAAATCAGATTTTTATGATAATTTTTGGAACTTAAATGTTGTTAATCAGGACCATAACCATTTATTGAATTCTTATGACATTACTTTCATGGATGCTTCAGAATTAATTATATACAGATACCCCCAAAAAAAGTCATCTTCCATGCAACATAAATTGAAAAAAGCAAGTTTCTTAGCTAAATTTTAGAAAATATTCCAAATTTTGGAATGAAGTCATCTTCCATCATTCTTATATGTAGAGAGACTTAATAGTAATATGGCACTTATGGTTTAGGTTTTCCAATATTACTGGTTTAGTTATCTAATTTGCAGGAGCATCAAAGACAAATTAAGAAGCAGAGCACACACACAAGAGCAAGAGTAAGAACAATTACCCTCTTCTGCATATACTCAATTTCAGCAAACAACAGCTCATTCTGGTAATTGGAAAAAGAAAGAAAAATAGTTGTTAAGAAGGAATCAAAGAATCGATGTGCTTGAGACAAACAGTAACACTTTTCAATGTGATTAGAGGAAATGTTCACGTACAAATGGTACTAATCAATACCTTTTTTGATCGGATTCTGCTAATGCCTCGCTCTAAACGACCCTCCAGGTTCTTGAGCTCTCTCAGAGTCAAAGTGCTCAGAGCTTCACCCATCATATTCCTGAAAGGTTTTTTTTTTGGGGGTTAGGTATTGAGAATTATTAGATGGTACTGGAGCGCGACAAGTTAGACCAACAAATGTGTCATAGTAAATTTTTATAAAGAAATATGAAATTTTTTTTTTTTGTTTTTATATATATTTTTTTATGACTTGAGATCTCGCAATAACTGACTCTTTCAACTTATAGTTGTCAATAAACTCTTAGTATAACAGCCTGCAAACCACACGTATCGGATAAGTTTGAATTCGTTGCCTCAGAGAGAGTCGAACACATGACTTCGTGTGAGAGATCCTGTGTTCAGCTCCTGAACCAATGGAGCTAGCCCGTGCGAGATATGAACATTAATTTTGATTAGGCTTAACCACCAAATGACAGATAATCCAAAACCATCTAATGATCACGGTTAGAAAAACAACAACAAAAAAGTGATGGTAGTACAATTGCATATGATGGTACTCAATTACTTATACCACTTGAAATTACCTGTTTGAATTCTGCAGATTTCCAATTTGTACACGCAACTTAGAGGCTTCTTGCTGGTAGAACTGCAATGATTGCCATCACATACTCAGTGGGTTAATAATTGTAGCTGATAACAAAGGCATTGCAATCAAATACATCTCCATTTGCTCCCACCAAAAAATTTGCAAAATAAGTTAAACGCATTTGATATGATGCCCTTAGTTACCACTATAATTTCTATGAGCAAATTTTTGGCTTTAGACAATATTATTTTACTCCCGTATTATTATTGACCAATCTCTTGTTATAATATGATTTACAAATGAATTTTCTGAATTGGCGGGTAAAAAAAATCAAACCTATTTTACAAAACATTCTCCTTGCTCAATAACTCTTGAGAGACTATACAAAAAGTTTCTTTATCTGATATGTGTGATTGATTTTGGACGTTTCTGATTAATAGTTGAATTGAGAGATTTATTAGAGAAAGATTACTATCATACCAATTTATTATGGTGAAGACAATAGCCCATGAATACCATTGATTTTGATTATAGGCTATTATCTTCAGCAAAACAAACTTGGGCAAAATAAATTTGTGTCAATCGATCGTACCTCTTTTTATTAAAATATTCATTTATGTTATCACAGTTCTCAAAAATTATCTAAATTCAATGATCAATAAACATAAAACTCATGATTGTCACGAGAGAAAGAGTTTCTTAAAAGTATTACGCATTTACAATTCATTTAAGAGTACACATAGGGCACTATGTTCTCGCGTTGTATATCCCACTGCTTCTTTTGGTACTATTATGTTATTCCCTCTGCTCTATTTGCCTTAATGAGTAATAAATAAATAATAATTTATCCAAATAGTTAAGTACTTAAGTTCGAATAAAATATACATAATATAATAATGGTATATATAATATATAATATGAGAAAATATATAAAATTTGAATTTATATGTAGTTGCATTTATAATTATAAATTTTATTAATTTTTTATTTTTTAAATATTTTTCTTTAATTTACAGTACAGTGATGCTTGTAACTAAAAAAATGTAAGTTAAAATATTATTATTCCAGATAAGAGAAAAAAAAACTTTTAGCTAAATTCATCTAATCGGGAATATTATATAAAATCTCCATTGACTTGGTTAGTGGGGGGTAGTTTTGACAAAAATTCAAAAAACAACCCCCTAAGTTAGTTGAGGGAAATTTTTGGCTAGAAAATAGTAAAATGGGGTTTACTAAAAAAAAAAACTCATATATATATATATATATTATAATGTTGCAGTTTAATAGCTTTAGTTAGTTTCATTAATAAAGTAAAGCTTAGCTAGAAAATTCAGGTGGCCTTTCAATACAAGTCACTCTCACAGTAGCTTTTACTTCAATTCATGCACATCAAATCACATATACACTATATACTGTATTTAGACTAAATAATGAAGTGTACCTGAGCATTGGCCTCGGAAACAGAACCAGTATTGGAGGAACCTGAGCATGCCTTCTTGTACCTTTCGATAGTAGCTTTGACACTACATTCATAGTGAACGATTTGTCAGAGGCCAACAAATGGTACTGAACAAATGGTACTGGATTAATACCATTCAAAAAATAAAATAAAATGGTACTGAATGAATTGTTATAAACTGCTTTCAAGTCAATGGAACATCGAAACATTATGTTTCAACATCAAAAAGCATATATAAATGAAAACAAATATTTGAGCCTATAAATTATCGGTAAATTAGACTTAAAATATTAATCACTTGTTTACCATTGGATATGTTTGAATTAAGAATATGTTTTACTTAAAACATGAGAAAAATGTCCTTATTTATCGGTATGATGTATAATAGAAAAGAATAAAAAAAATAGAATTGTTGTCCCCAATTCGATCCATATTGTATTCTAAACTATAATTATTAAGAAAGCTACATTCTCCCACCCCACAGACCCCTCTCCCTCCCTCCCTCTCCACCATATATCTTCCCTCGCTTCCACCATGATTCTCACTTGTAATTTCCGTCAATTTCTTTTTACTTTGTCATTTTTGTTTTTTTAAACAATGGTGATATGAGTGTTAGATGTAAAAGAGAAAACTCTATATATTGTATTGATGTATAAGAAATATATACAGGAGGATTATGTATGACAAACAAATAAACCCTATATGTATATGGTTACTATATAAATGGTAATCCTATACAAGGTAAACCTATATATGGTAATCTTATATAAGGTTATAATATATTATACAATATAATAATAATATATTCTACAATATATTCTAACAGCCCTCCTCCTCAAAATCAGGGTGGATTGAATGAAACCATCTTGAGTTTGGAATTGAGTTTGGAAACGAGATATTGAAAGCGGCATGACGGAAGTGATTTGGTGAAGATGGGTTTTCACCCATAATGAGATAGAGGCACGATTAACAACTGAAGTGGCACTACTGCAGGCACCGCTGCTGATTGTGTCTAACATGGCAACTGACGTGGCATTACTGCTGGCACCGCTGTTGACTGTGTCTGACATGGCAACTGATTGACGCAGTAGGTGACGCACTACTGCTGGTACCGCTGTTGATGTGTCTTAGAAGCTAATTAGGCAACTGATGACGTGGCAGTGCTAACGTGGCACCTGTTGCCTTGGCAGTACTAATGTGGCAGAATGACACGGCGGTGCCAACGTGGCAGGTTGACGTGGCCTGACATGTGGAGTGGCGTGGATCTGACGCGTGGTGGCGCGGTGACGGAGCTGATCCGACACGTTGAGGTGCAGGATTGCCGCTGGTGCCCATGAAAGCACATGGAAGAGTGGGATTACCACTTGAGGCGCATGGTGGCGTGGTGACGGAGCTGATCCTACACATTGAGCATCTCTGAATGAGGCATCTCGTTAAACAACGAGGCTTCCCTATACGGAGCTGATTCGACACGTTGAGGGGCAAGATTACCGCTGGTGTGCGTGAAAGGGCATGGAAGAGTGGGATTATCACTTGAGGCACATGATGGCGCGGTGACGGAGTTAATTCGGCACGTTGAACATCTCTGAACGAGGCATCTCATTAAACAACGAGGCTTCCCTATACGGGGCATCCCTACGCAGGCCGAGCTTCTCTAAACGAGGCATCTAATTGGGTTTCCCGGAAGAAGACTTAGACAACGAGGCTTTCCTGAACGGGGCATATGAAGATCTTGGAGTGTGAAAGCGTGAGTTTATTGGTTGACTGTCGACGCCGAGAATGAGGCAAATCTTAGAGTGCAGAAACGTGAGTTTATTGGTTGACCGTCGCCACCAAAGATGGGGCTAATGGTGCAATCCCCGGCGATGACTACGAGAAACTAGTATATTGTTTACCAGAAATCAAAAGGTTCTAATACCATGTTAAATATAAAAGAGAGAGTATAGAACTCTATTACATTGATGTGTGTAAAATGTGTATACAAGAGGAGTTTATATAGGAAGGGTTATGTGCTATGAAGCACCGACACGTGGGAATGGGTGGTCGTACTGGTACATGCGTGTCCAAGGCTTCGACACGTGTCTGACACCTCTATAGAGGTGTCCTATTTTTTTATCATATTTTTTTAAGCCGGACACTGCGAAAGACACGCCGGTGACACACATAGGACACGGGATTCAAATTTTTTGTCAAAAAAAAATTAAATAAATAAAGAGATATATACACAGGCTAGAAGAGTGTAGCTCGATTGGGATCTTCCTGAATTTATCCGGCCACAGCCGGAGCCACCGGACTGATTGATCGGCGAGATGGTTTCGGATCAAATCTACTTCGTTCCCCTTTGCACACCGAACTTTGATGGTGTTTATTCTACTCTCAAAGTTTAATCAATTTGAACATTTTGTTCTTAGATCTCTCTATAGGAAATGATTGGTAGAATGATGCTTCGGATCTGCTCTGTGGCTTTCTCTCTCATACACCAGACTGTGGTAGTGTACACAAGTGTGTTAGTGCGCTGACTTTCGATTCTTTATACAATTAGGGTTAAGTTGCTAATTGCATGTAAGATTTGTCTTAGTGAATGGGCTTGGGCTCAATGATGCTTGGGCTGTATTTTGGGGCTAAAAGTTGTGTTTATTAAATAATGGGCCTAAAAGTTGTGTTTATTAAATATAAATTAGAAATTGAGTAAAAATAATATATATATATATATATATATATACATATATAATTTTATTGCCGTATACTTGCCGTATCCGTGTCGTATCGTACCTGTATCCCGTGTCCATATCCGTGCTTCATAAGTTAGTGTGACAAACAAGTAAATCATATATGTATATGGTAACTATATAAATGGTAATCCTATACAAGGTAAATCTATATATAATAATCCTATATAAGGTAAATTTATATATGATAATCCTACATAAGGTTAGAATATATCGTAAAATAATTTTACGTGTATTCATTAATGAATTATGAAATATTAAGGGTTCTCATTATTAGAATATATTGTAAAATTACAATATATTCTAATAATGAGAACCCTTAATATTTCATAATTCATTAATGAATACATGTAAAATTACCTTCCACGTGCACAAGTACATAGTTACCAAGTGATTCCCTTGCATGACATCAAGAAAATTGGAAGTCCCAAATTCCAAAATATGAGGGAGAGACTCGCTATAGTTTATTCCCTAAAGTTAACATCCAACTATTTATTTATTATTTTTATTAAAGAAAAATAAATAAATAAATAAAATAAAAACAAAGGTTAAAGTAGCGGTTAATACATTTACAATATTATCCCTAACACAAACTCTTTGGGGAAAAAAAAAATCTACCGGGACTAATTTCCAATACTAAGATCCTATTATTAGGAGAGTGATGTGTTACTGTGTGTATATACACTTTTGGGAATCCAAAAGACAGATTTAAGATCAAATCTGAGATCTGATGCATTCATTTTTCAAACTCGCAAGATGATGCATTACGGCCCGTTATTCAAAAAATGATAGTTGTCTCAAAATAATAATTTTTTAATCTAAATTTAAAAAATAATTAAACCCAAACAAATTTCTATACATTTTCCAAATTTTCATCCTAAAAATTTAAAAATATTTTCAAAAAACTGAACTAAATAGATTTGTTATTGTTGCTCCTAATACATTCAAGTTATGCATTATATTAGGGGTGGGCAAAAAATTCGTGAATCCGCGAATTCGATTCGATTCTATCCGTGAGTCCAATCCAATTCGATCCATGAGATTTATATATATATTCAAATAATGTGTTAGTTAATTTAATTAGTTGATGATCATTTAATGGACTTTAAGAATGTATTAATTAATGATCCATGAGTCCGATCCAATCCGATTCGTGAGATTTATATATATATATATATATATATATATATATATATATTCAAATAATGTATTAGTAAATTTAATTAGTTGATGATTATTTAATGGACTTTAAGAATGTATTACTTAATAATCATTTAAATATATTAATTAATAATAACAAATTGAAATTTTATCTATTGAGTTATGGTAAAAAAAATTAATAATATAAAATATTTAAGAAAAATTTCAATTTACTTATCCAATTCGACCAGTAAAATAACTTATTGGTGGCATATCAAAAAAATTTCAAACAAATCAAATAAAGATTGCCTAATTCTATCCCATTCTATCCGTGGCCACCTACATTATTTGACACTTTAAGATAAAAATGGAAAATATTTTGAATCAACCCAACTACATATCTCAATATGCATAGGCCAACACAAATTGGCTGAAGTTCTGACTTTCGACTCAGACTGCAAAGTTTTAACGTGACGGATGATGTAATTTAGTATGATTTAACATATATGATATGATATGATATAAAAGCCCCCTATTCTCGATGTGCTTTTACCTTAATTTCGTCGAGCCGTTGATTGGCTATCTCTGCCATGCCGGCACATGTTTGCACAATATGATTGGCTCAACCTTTTTCTAGGTCAAGTTTCACCCTTTTACTCAATGAACAATGTCAACAACTAAATGGTTCATACAGTTTTACCCATCCTCTAACTACAGAGTTACAAAAACACACACATACATATATATATATATGATATATCATACTCCGTATTAGATTAGTAAAATAAGTTATAAATATATAATATTCAGTCTTGTCCCTATCTGTAACTCTGAGTGCATCAGGGCCGTCCATTCCATTGTTGTACACTTCTCATGCATTAAACAAGCCAAAAACTCAGAACCCTCTCATTGGTTAGCAGTTGTGGTACAATTTTGTGCGACCAATCTCTCTCTCTCTCTCTCTATATATATCTTTCTCTCACTACAATGACTAGCTTGCATAGATATATCTATACAAGATCTACAAACAACTGCAAAAAAATCCCAAAGTCTCCAATGCCAATATCAGTCAAGAGGTGACGGTTTAGAGTAGCTTATTTTGACCTAAGATGGGCAATTCTCATTGGTTGGACTCTGAGTCTTTGCTGTTTTAGTTTTAACATCCAGAAGGTCTGTGAAAGGCTCAACTGATAAGAGCTAAAAAAAATCGAATATTTTTTAACTACTAAATTTGCCCAAGAGGGTCTCTGTTTTTTTTTTTCTTTCACCAATGAAGATAAAATTAGCATTCAGAGAGATGAAAAAGAAGAGCCCCAAGTAGATGAATCATGACACACCATTATGTCAGATTTTCAAGAACTGAAAAATCGTGTGTGACGTGACCAAAGATTCTTGTGACTAAAACCATTAGGCTATGCTCAACTAATATGTCTTCAACTCTAACTAGATGTACCACACGTCCTGATGATATATAGTATGTGTATGTGTGTGAATGTGTGTACGAACCTTTGTGAACCCTAACTGGGTGTTCATTGGCTGCAGAGTGTGGAGAGATCTGGCAATTTTATTTGAAGAAATACCCATTTAAGTTTCTGTAATATGTAGCAAATTAACCAAAAGAAATTGTTAAATATTAAACCCTAGTTTGGTTATCTTTGACTTGAGTGTTGCACCCTTTTTAATTACAACACATTTAATAACTGAGAGAAACCCTAATTTTGGCTGTGATTGGATGTAACTTGATCTGGTTTTGATTGGATGTTAAAAACAAAAGGCCTGAAAAAATTATGTGTTTCATGCCAAAAGCATAATAGGGTTTCCATAAAAAAAAAAATTAAAAAGAAAAAGAAAAGAAAAAGGCCTTTTGTTGCCTTGTATATATGAGATGTTAAGTAAACTGATGTGCTAAAATGAAGCAAGAAAATGGGCTAATGATCAGAGGAGCACAGTTTTGTTGTAGGCCTTCTTAGGCTTACAGATGACATAGGAGAGAGAGAGAGAGAGAGAGAGGAATAAAAGGAAAGAAAGAGAAAGTAAAGTGCAGGCAATGTGTTAAACAGCAATGGAGGAAGATAGGAGAGGGTGATCTCACAGTTTCTGCATACCTTGCCAAATCTCTCTACTTGTTGCTACAACAGTCATTTATGCTGTTTCTATCTACTATACAAACAGATCTATGTATCTACGGAACTAAGAACTAAAAGGGGATCACAAAGTGCAAGTGGAAAAAAAACATTAAATAAATAAAAGAATGAAAAACCAAATAGGTGGAGAAAAAAACATCACAGAAAAAAGAAAGATCACAAGCACTCTCTATTTAGAAAGAACTCAAATTTCAACTGCTCAAAAAAAATGATTGTGCTCTTATGCTTAAATCCCCTCAAAAATTCTATTGCAGATCCAAGCTTAAAATTTGGACAGTCAAATCACAAATACAATCTTTATTAATTATTTACTTAATTTCTTAACAAAATTAAAGGAATGAAAACATAGTTAAGAAGATTCTCTTCAAGAGTTTATAAAATATAATTCATTTATCTTACCCAAAATAATAATATTATTATTTTCTTCAACAGCAGAAAACAAAGAAGGGGTCTTCACTGAACTATATTAATACCAACTAAAACATATAGTTCATATATATATATATATATATATATATATATGTAGCCTGGAAAGAATAAGATGAGGCCATGAATAGTTGAGATGAGCTAATCAGGCATGAAGAAGCTAAAAATGGAGGAATTAGTACCTATTGTTAGCATACTCATAAAGCCGGCCACGATTGGAGAAGACAATAAGGGCAACCTCAGCATCACAGAGAACAGATAGTTCATAGGCCTTCTTGAGCAAGCCGTTTCGCCGTTTGCAGAAGGTGACTTGACGATTCGTGGTGTTTTCGATCCGCTTGATCTCAATCTTTCCCCTACCCATTTTTCTCTGTGGAGAGATCTCCCTTGATTGATCCGGAAACGCCATGTTTTGGAGCTGAATCAAGCATAGTATGTAACAAACAAACTGATATTTAGCTACTATTATATATATACATGCAGACAACAAATTCATTACAATTAGCCCTTTGTTTGATTGCCAAGAATTCATAGGAAAATTATGACATGAATGTTATAAATGGATGCAGCTAGCTTCATTCTATCCCCAACCATTTGTAACATTCCATATTGCCATCTGTATATTTTCCTTTTGATTTCTCAGCAACCAAGCAATGTTAATGCAATGATATATCAGCCTGTGACATCAAAGAAAAGATAGATCATGCACCAAAAAGAAAGAGGTGAAGCACTAGAAAATGATGTATGATCAAGTCTTTTCAGCTCACTAACCTGGTGATGAAGCAGATGAAAGAAGATAATTAAAGACTGAAAATCAAGTTTTCTGGCTTTCCTTTTCTCCCCCTTATTTTCCTGGAAAATCAGCAAGGGAAGGATGCTGAAAATGGGAAGGAGCTGCAATAGGAGATGGGTTTTTATAAAGTGGAAAGTGACTCTTTATGCATTAACAAAATGTCCCCAATTAATTCCAACTTCTTGTACTAATTAATTTTGTTCTCTTTTTAATTCTAACTCTCGAGTTCATGTATGTTTTATGTATGATGTATCTGACTCTTGGTGGTCTGTATTGAAGGTGAAGCAAAACAGAGGCTAAAGAGGGAAATCACATCAGACTGAGGCTTTTGTTCACCATTCATTATTTTTTACTTTCATGTGACTGATGAGAGTAGAAGAAGGAGATCTGAAAAGGACCTCTCTGAAAGTGATTTTTAATGGGATGAGTGGAACATTGGACTAAGTTGCACTCAATCTTTAATCTTCTTCAGTACAAATGTCTATACATCTTAATCAGTTCGAGAACCTCTCTTTCCCTCTATATATATATATATATATATATATATATCACAAACACACACACATACATATGTATGCATATATATATATTTTTTTTCCTGACAAGAAACTCCCACAATATTTATGGGAGACTCGAATCCTCCACCTTTTACTTTAGAAGGAAAGGAAATAACACTAGGCCATGGACCTTGGTTATGTATGGATATAAATAACTTATATGTTTAGTATTTGGAGATAATTTTACCTTATTTTTTTATTTTTATTTTTTCTGTTTTTTTGGTGAGCATTGAGTTATCTTTTTATCTTTTATGTGTTTTTTCAGAGAATATATTAAGTTTATCTATTTATTATTATTATAGGATAATTGAGAATATATAAAGTTTTACCTCTCATAACTTAACAATACTCCCTCTCTTTTCCATTCCCTTTTTAATCTTTTCTCTGTTGCATACAGAATTCAGACTATATATAACAGAATCACTAATGCTATTGCAAAAGTGAAGACCACTGCATGTGACTCCAGCCCCTATTTACCTAGTATAGATTTCATCTTTATGGTAAGAAAAGGAGAAGCACTTGGCATTCAAAACAACAATTTGTTTTTATGTGAGGGATATAAGATTGTATACATACATATATATATGTATGTATATATTATGTATTGGACCTTCCATGACTAGATATGCCAAATTGCCAATCCCACTTGTAATATGTCTACTTTTGATGTTTTTAGGAGCCTAATTTGAGATTTACTGACTTTACCAACTCACATTGTCATTCCTCTTCCTTTTTATCTCATTAGGCACAGTGAAGGATTGGTGCCCATCTCTGTACTTGGATTTTAATGTCGTCTTGCTATCTCACTCCTCTTCATAGAGAGGACATGTCAATTTTCAATACCCACCATGCATTTTTTCATATGAAACATTTTGATGGACAAGTCATTCTTCTTTGGAGACTATGTGTGCTGTGTTTGTGTAATTGTACAAATGGTTCAATAATTTGTTGATCCATAGAGTGGTCAATGACGATTTGCTTCTCTGATGGGTAAGTACTCCTACAACGATGAATAATTTGATCGAAAACTATTCAATTTATCGAAAGTATGATTCATACAGCATAGGCAGTACACCTCATATGTCCATTTCTACAGAAAGGGCGCGTATGTACACTATATTGACCTTCTTAATTAGTGATGAAAAGGGTAATATTGTCATACCCTAAATGCCTTACCAACACAAGTTTAGCTTAAATTTTTCTATTTTATAAAATCTGTTAGAAGTTTATATTTCATCCAATATGTAAATTCTCTTTTGACTAGCCTAAATGTGTCCATATATAGATTATTTGATGAAATACATGTTCTTTTCATGGTGGAAAAGCACCACAACATCTCATACAAGAAACTGTGAAAGTTAAAAATTCATCTCAGGATACTGTTTATTTGAGGTTACTTACTTAGAAATAAATCCATTCAATGGTTGGTACCAACTTAGTCCACTTCTCTCTTATTTATCAGCTATTCATGCATTTTAGGGTGCATTATATATGTTAATATCTAGATAATAATTCCTTTTTGTAAAAAAAAAAAAAAAAAAACAAATGTATTCAATTACAGTTATCAATTTTAGTTAGCCAAAGGTATTTTCTATAGGCCACAAATGTATTTTCAGGTAGACTCTTATATATGATGTGACTCAGCGACCAATCATTTCAAAATTTTCTGATCTAATATTAAGTATAAGACAAGTGATTTTCATATTTTGTTTCTTTTTCTGCATATATATAACTATACACTTTCTGAAGATTGCATCTTCTTCTCATGGATTTATGTCAAAATGAGTTGTACTTTAAAAATAGAAGACATAGTTCATGGCAATTAGCAAATTCTCTAAGCTCAAAACTCCTTATGGGTTACAACAAGAAGATCTTCACCATATATACCATGAGGACCACATTGTGATCAGCTTGTATACAACTCTCTTAAACTACATTGGACGTGTTTAAGAGGCTTTTTTTTATTATTATTAAAAAATATATATATATTATCGACTTATCATCCATCAAGCAATATTATGTATTGAGATTCTCATCATTTATCCACTTCGGATATGGCCCAACTGTTTATTTACTGGACTTTGAAGCTTAGCAAGCCTAATTCTAGAGTTCGAATCCTGCTAAGTGTTCTTTGTGGTTAGCCTCCGCTACCCCTGCAGTGACTTACCAGACCCAAGTGGGGAGACGCCCTATCAGGTCTTCAGAGATTAGTCAGATTGTTGAGGGGCCTTAAGGGTTTATGCCTTTCCGAACATCCCGAACTAACTAAAAAAAAAAAAAAAAAAGATTCTCATCATTGACCCTGGTATTCTAAAAAATCTTCCTTGCACCGAAAATATCATATTATCAATGTGGTCAACTAATGAATATATTTTTTCACGTAACTAAGAATAGGTCTAGTTCAGTGGTCGTATTACTACATGTTAGTATTAATTTAACTAGTATTTAATTAATGAATGATACGATGTCTTTGATAATTTTTCTCCATGTATTCATCAATCACTCACTCAAAGTGGCTATTTGTAAAAGGACGCCACTTTATTTATCTTGAATGTAACAAATTGAAGTTAAATGTACTAAAAAATAATAATAATAATAATAAAACAACTAAAAATCAATAGTGAGGGAGAGAAATAATTATGTTTGGGGGGTGGGGGGAATTCAAGCAAGTGGTACAGTTTGGTGGTTATGAGAGATGAGAAAATATTATATGTCCTGGGACATTATTCCCAAACAATCACGTGATGATAATTAAGTAAAAAGTAAAATAAAATTGACACATAATTGATGCATCAAGTAAAAAGTAAAATAAAATTGACACATAATTGATGCATTTACTTGGGTGTCAATTAGTGATTGGTCAAGAAATTATTATATAGTCTTGGTCAATCTCCATACGACACGTCAGTAAAAAGTTAAGTAAAGCATACACATCTATGCTGTATTCATTAATGTGTCATGTGATGATTGATTCGTTATCATGTAATAATTTTTTTAATTGACGGGCCATGTAATAATTTATCGAGATGAGCTTGCCCGGTGAAAATGAAGGTTGGGCCCAAACAAAAGTTAAAGCCCAAAAAAAAAATAAAGAAAAAAAGAAAAAAGAAAAAGAAGAAGCATGGCATAAGCCCAAGGCTTCAAAAAGATGATCATTACAAAGTAATGGTTCAAAGGTTATCATAATTTGATTTGTTCAGTCCCAAACCACATCAAGTAGATAGATACACCGAACTGAAACCTTATTATTAGGTGCAGTTTGGCAGTTTAGTAAAAAAATGCAAGTAATCATTACAATTAAACAAACACCTTGGAAATTCAGTTTGGATTTGTTTAGTTGGAAAGGGCAAAAAGAAAAGTTGGAAAAAAATTAAATAATCTATGAAACATACTTTATGATATGTGATTAAGAAAAATAAAAAATAAAAAATTAGAAAGGGAAATAACTTTTGAAGAATGTTATACTTTTATACACAATGAAGTACAATGGTAAAGCAATTCTTTCTAAAAGGGGGACCACAAAAGCAAAATGATTTTCTCTTGCAACTTCACAATGAAGCTGAAAGTTACAGGCCTTCAATGCATGACCTAATCCCATAAATGCAACTATAATTGTTTAACATGTCACATTCCACTTTTTCCACCACTTTCTTACTTTTTTATTTTTCTTATGCCAAACTAGCCTACCCACCTTTATTACTGTTCTCTCACATCACTGTTTAGCTAATTTACCACAAAAGGGTTTGTTATATATGTGGCGAATATTTGTGATCTTTCAAAAAAATAAATAAATAAATAAATAAAATCCCTATGACAGCTTGCACTACTAGAAGGCTAAACGGAAAGGCTGATACATATTTCGTTGCAGTTTGAATGCAATTTTCATCAAAATCAGTCTAACGATCAATACTTACTAGTTTTGTTTGTGACATATATCATTTTTGGACCGAATCTTATAGTTTTAGTATTATTGTTGGACAAGTCCATTTTTTTATAAAAAATTAGTAGTAGCCGAAATCGGACTTAAATTTAATTGATTTTTGGTAATTATAGCTTATTTTAGTGATTAGATTCTTATGCTCATTTTTTTCATGAGACTGTGTCAAATTTAGTTGTTTTAAGGATTTTTTACTGGTGTATGGATGTAGTGTAAACTAATTTACAGAGATTTTAATGATATTTCAATTTTATGTATGGTTTGTGATTCTTTTAACATAATTTTTAATTGAGTATTAATAGAAAATCTGATCTTCGGACAAATAATTTTCTATGAGTAGCAATTAAAGTCATTATAAAATTAAATATATTAAAAACATCACGATAACATTAGATCTCATTCATGTAAATCAATTAAAATTATTGGACTATAAATCATTTTCTTTCTCAATTTTATCTCTTCTTCGGTTTGCTTCTAGCCACTAGACTTACAACAGAATTCTTTCTTCACCAAGTGCCATCTCAATCTTTGGTATAATACTAAATAAACATTGATCCAAAATACTATCGGAGCAAAAAAATTACTGTATAATGT